ATAAACATTCATCTCCTTCTTATGATATCCCTTACTCTAAAGATTCAATCTTCACTCTCTTCTTCTGTGTCTGACGATCTATGTTTTACGGAAGATGACATTATTGGTGCTATTGGTCAGCTAAAGTCGAAAAAGTCTGGTGCTGGCTATGTCATCTCTGAACACCTAAAGCTATCCCGCTCTATAATTGCCTTACCGCTCTCGCAGCTCTATACCTCAATTGTCCGTCATGGACCACTATTGCGGGATTCGATTCTTGTTCCTGTCCCAAAGAGCAACAAAGATACATCTGTGAGTTCCAACTATCGTCCCATTGCTCTTTCCACTACATTGAGCAAGGTTCTGGAGTGGCTGATTCTTCATAAATATTCTGAGTTCTTTACCAGTAGTCACCTGCAGTTTCGTTTCAAGTCCCACAGCTCTACATCTCTTTGTACGGGCATGGTTAAGAATGTTGTATCATGCTACATCAACAATGGTTCTTATGTTTATGGTTGTTTTTTAGATGCTTCTAAGGCCTTCGATCTTGTTGATCATAACATATTATTTCGTAAACTCCTAGAGCGTGGCCTTCCACTGCTCGTTGTTCGTTTCTTGTTGTCTTGGTATAGCTCTCAAGAATGTCGTGTTCGTTGGGGTTCGTGTCTCTCTGGTTCGTTTAGGGTTTCTAATGGAGTTCGTCAGGGAAGTGTTCTCTCTCCTCTTGTTTTTGCTGTGTATCTGGATGGTTTGTTGTCTGAATTGGTTGAAAGTGGTGTTGGTTGTTATTGGAAAAATTTGTTTGCTGGGTGTTTATGTTACGCTGATGACATTGTTTTACTCGCTCCTTGTCCCTCGCTCCGCTCGCCCAAAGAATTTCCACCTAGTATAAATTGCGTGTTAACTCGGCGCGCGGCGCGCGCAGTTCCCTGGCGTTGCGCGCTCTTAATTTCTGGCCGGCAGAGGCCAGCACCCGGGGGCACGCTCTACAGAGAGCGGCGCACCGTCGACCGATCCGTTGCCACGCCGTGGCGGGATTCGAGTGAGAGCGTTGCTGTTGCGACCCGAAAGATGGTGAACTATGCCTGAGTAGGGCTAGGGCTATGCAAATGGTGGTTGCGCTTAACAAGATTGAGCCATGCACCTGGAGAGATCTCTATGATGCATTAAATCACCCTACTGTTGCCATGTCTGATGTGGCAAATAAGCTTTCAGCAAAACTAACTGGTAGGTTTAGTATGTACCTACAGTCAGTATCCTGATGCAATAATTATTCTACTACGTATCAACAGTTGAAGTACCCAATACAAGGGCTGGAGATGCAGCATTAGGCCACTCCAAGTTGTATACCGGTTTCTGATCCGCCGCCCGCACCCATTTCAAGAGAACGCAGTTTTGAACTGTGCATGCTGTGCTGTGTGTACTGCACTTGTCTCGTTTTGACTGTCTTCCCACTATGAATTTTTGTGGTCATATTATTACTAATGAGTAAACCCACCAGCCCGCATCTTGACTTGAAAAGGCCCTTACCAGAAACCGGAATGCAACTTGGAGTGGTATCCATGAGCAGTACATCACTGACTTTGGCAAATACCTCATTTGACAGTGGAGACACCAAAGGTTACACAGGCATAGACAGGGTTGTTTTCATTAAGGCAGTCAGCAATTTTACTATCCATTGTTCTCGCAGTCATGTTTTTTTCCCACTGAGGCAGCCACTAGACTCGTTCTCTCTCCAAGTGCACATATTTTATGCCAAAGGTTATTGTGCGCACAGAGAGGGGGAGTAAAGTTTGTGCATGAGGAAGGGGGGGGCAAAGGTCGTGCGAATAAATTATGTGCGCAGAGAGCCCGAGGAGCAAAATAAATTGTGTGTACCAGTGTTTCCCGCAGGGTGATATTCAAACAGGGTGGTTATGAATTATTAATTACCTCAGCTTTCACATTACTTGTTACTCAAGTTTCAAAGTTCCTGTTGGGAAATCCCCTACTGGCCTAAGTGCTACTCTCTAAGCAGCGCATTACCTGGGGGGTATATATATAGGACAATATCACGTGTGAGCAATTTTTTGCTGAATCAGCACTCCCGAATGTATGGGCTCGTTCAACCAGTCTTCAAGGAATTTTCGCCAATCTAGGCCGTGGCTGAAGTTTTTCTCTTGACAGAGTGAAGGAGGCACCTTATAAGAAGATAAAAAATCTTGGTGGAATCACGGTGGAACCACAACTGTTTTTTTTGCTAGCAGCTAATGAATGGGAGTGCCTAAGCTTGCGACTTTTGTCTTCCAGCGAAGCGTTTAGCATCTGGCCTTGACTTTCAACTCCCGTCTACTACCATTTGACTCAATCCAAGGCTATTCAAATGTTCCAATTGCTGCACAAATATAGCAAGCTATGAGCAGTAGACAGTGGATAGCATTAGGCCAAGCCACGCACCAAATTGTTGTAGCCTAGCTACTCCATTGTAGAATTCCGTGAAGAAAATCCGCTAAGAACTTGTGCTTTGTGTCGATCATACCGTTTCTACAACGGTTTCTTGTATTGGAGCACTTTTCGATAGCCTGTTTGTCTTGAGACTTGGTAACGGTGTTTTGCAGGGACGTGGGCACGAGGGCGAGTACCAGCCCATGTCCTCAGACTTCCCTCTCTCTTTAGTAAACCATATCGCTTACTATGCATAAACGCTTATGAGCATTGGCATGTATGGAACACGCGTTTTTGTCATGTGGTTCTTACGTAACTACGCAAGCTTGTCCTACCCCCCCTGGCGCATTACTGCTCACAGTGCAGTGTAACCACGCTAGTTACATTTTACGCCTGCAAAATAATTGTACACGCCCATTTTTGGGATTTTTCAATCCGGGGGGAGCACCCGGTTGTTATAAATCTGCGGGAAACACTGGTGTACGGAGAGGGTGAGCCTAGGAACGAGACTAGCGATGTCTCTAACACCAGTGGGTTTACATTTCTTGCTATTGAGGGGGTTGAATCCAAGGATTTTTATGTCTGTCCCCTTTTCCCTCTCCTTCTGACTTTCATCTGGCGTGTCACCACCAAACCAGTAGTAATCACAGCTCTATCTTGGCTTGTATATAATTGTGGCCAGTGTTTGCCCGTTCACACTGTGGGGGGACGAGTACTCAGTCCAGCATTGCCCCAGATGCTACTTGCTTTATCGCTGCCAGCCTAAGCATGAAACAGGCTTTAGCTAGACCATGTAGTGTGGCCCACAATATCATCTGTACTATGCATATTTTGCCTTATTGCAGGTCTAAGTTCATGCTGCCATTTTACTTACATACATTCCCTTCGTAATGAAAAGCAACCCTCGGCGAACTGCGCATGCGCGATACTGCTAATTGATGGGCTGGGCTATTTGTACTCGTGGTCTCCCGCTAGTATATACCTCACGAAGAGTCTGACACAGGCTAGCTACAGTAGTAGATAGCATACGGTAGTCGACACATGCCATTCGTTGTGACATTCTGAGTATGGTGCCTGAGCCCCCAAGGTACACAGAGCGGGGAGCGGATCAGGTCGCGGTAAGCCCAGTGCGATTATATCTCGCGTCTAATACATGCATGTGCACCACTAATGGATGGGTTGGGCCACGCTACGTGGTCTGGGACTATGCCGGTTTCTCGCGCTCGAACGCTGTCGTTTCGGAAAAATCGCCATTTTATTTTTCATGTGCTTGTATATAGCACTGAAGTGTTTGGTATCGATATCGCTCTTAGGCCGCCTCGTAGCCTGTAGTGCGAGAATAGTCAGACACAAACACAGAGAGACCAACTACTGTAACCCTCGCTGCGCATGCGCGCCGAGGGTTAATGACTGTGCTGTCATCATTTAGCTACCACGAGAGCAGACCCTATGGCACGCGCGCCGTTTGACTTTGTGTCAAAAAATCGGGGTGACGGATCGTTTTTGGGGCGACGAGTGTCGACAATTCTCCTTTCGTGGCGACGAATTTCTACGGCGACGATTGTGTGTGAAGCAACAGATTTCTGTCATAAAGGCCAAAAAAATCTTGGCTTTAGGTGGCGACCAGGTAAGGCGATCACTGCGACAATTTTTTGTGATCAGGTGGCAGAGTTAAAAGGTCAACTTTCCTAGAGTGCCTAATAGAGTACACTGATCGGTCTCTTCCAAAGTCCTGGTACTACTACTGTACTGGTTTCGAGTAAGTTAATCTTTGAACTCTCGCACCAAGTAACATTGCAGTGGAAGCTACGTGCCGCATAACTGGTCGTCGCCTTAAAATCCAAGATTTGATTAGTTCCCTTGAGAAGCTTTCGTCGCTTGATAAACAATCTTAGCCGTCGAAATTCGTCGCAAGGTAAGAATAATTTGCTACTGGGCAAGCTCTAGCTGCATAACACAGAACGTGGGTCCTCTGGGTATACGGAACGGTTGGGTCTACTCACCTGCCGGCGGACCACACCCATTTTTGTTGCCCGGCCGATGGCAGTCAGAATTATGGAGTCCCCCTTTCAGTCACAAGTGTTACAAAACTAGCGATGTAATTTCAGTACCTGCATACTGCGTACGATGATGATAGACCCCAACAGCCTGGCAGAAAAAGAGCTCGAGGAAGGTTTCATAATACTTCAAAAATACCACGAGCGCGCGTGGCGTCCAAAAGTGGGCATCGCTGCTAAAAATTTTGCCCACCTATTTGTCATTGAAACCACCCGTTCTGGAGTTGTTCTGCTGCTTTTACATTTTTTGAGGCATGCAGTTCTGAAGCATATTTCTCTGTAAAAGAAGTAGTAGTGTATGTCCTACACAGCCTACACAGCCAGTGAGGCAGAGGACCAGGGGAGGAGACTGGAGCAGCAGCTACGACTGAAGGAGGAGGAGAAGGAGGCTGAGATTGCTCGTCTCCAGGAGCAGATGAGGCCGTTTGCCACTGAGAAGGATCGTCTGGCATCACAACAACAGAGGGAGATAGCAGAGTTGAGAAGTCAACTGCAGACGTCACAGAAACCACCAGTTCAGCGAGGGAGGGAAGAAATGACTGTCTCTAGGCCCAAGGCAAGTATATAGAGGGTTTAATCACAAAGTTGTATTATCACAATGCATCACAACCTAGCCATCTTTGTGTAGGTATACTATCAATGTGATTCATGATGTCTGCAGGATGAGAAAGCTCTGTATGATGCTGCTCGTGGTGGAGATGTGTCTGCAGTGAGAAGACTTCTGGCCTCTAATGTCAACATCAACTGTACACCATATCCTGTAGGCACAGTGTGACTGTGTTCCATCAGATGTCCAATCTGTTTCACCATCTCACAGGATGGCTGGACTCCACTGATGGCAGCATCATTTGATGGACATGTTGAAATTGTGAGACTACTGATTGAGGCTAAGGCTCAGCTCAACATACAGGAAAAGGAGGTATTCTATCACATTGTTGCACATTGTGAGTGTATGCAGCGATGACTATTCACACTATTTTTCCGGTTGGAACTCCTATAATTGTATAATTGTATAATATAGTGTTGAATTTGTTTGAGTACGGAAACACACAATAATGTAGCTCACTCACTGAGACAAGGGTACATTAAGTGCAATTATACATCCATTGTAAACAGTGTGAGGAGAGAGAGACTGGTCCCTCTCTCAATCACGACGTAACACATTTTTGCACTTTGTGGAAGTATGCTGTGATGACTATAGCAATCACAGAGTTGTTTGTGACTGGTCAAAGAGAGAGTGGTCACAATGCACTCTGTTTACCTGAAAATGTGCCAGCCTTTCGCATTTTGTATATATCTACTGTCTAATGAGTAGAGACTTGCTTTCACATATAAATGTTCTATCTCATAAGTAAACTAAACTGAATTACTATATTTTTATCCTCTGCCACAGAGTGGGATGACTCCTCTTTTCATGGCCTGTCAGAATGGACACAGTGATGTAGTGGAGATCCTGATAAGAAGTCGAGCTAATATCAACCTGCCTCGTGATGTACGTAAGGGTCGACTATTTACATTGCATGGTTATGGTTACAACTTCCGATTTACATTGCATGGTTACAACTTTCGGACTAGTGACTTACCCTTCTAATGAAACACCCACCAAAATGGTACAAAAACTGTTGCTCTATGCTCCTTCAATATTAATCTGAGGCAAAAAAAGAACTGAACGTTGTACTGCCAAGACCAGTGGCACTGAGTTTCGTGTCTGAAAACATGATCAAACATGCTTGTCTATCATGAAGTTGTGGTTGAAGACCTAAATACCTTTGGCTTTTTTTCACTGCCAGTGGTCAAAGGTAAAGTGCATGAATGGATTATGTGAAGGGAGATCCTGGAGACAAGGTTTGTTTTTCCAGAATCTCCCTTATCATACACAAATATAACGAGTCAATAAAAAATGGCAGACATCCCTGCACTAGGTACTATGTACCATACTTCGTGATATGAGGGCTTACAAACCATCGGATAATAATCAGATTTAAGGTCAAATAGTAGTGGGCCCTACTAGGGCTACAACTATAGGACAATGAATGAATGAGAGGCTGACTATATATTATTACGGTCAACATGGCTTGGCAATGCAACAGACCTCGCTCTTTCGTTAGAATACAGTGAGGCTATACCGTTTTTGCTAACTGGAATGCTCTGAAGCTAGTTGAGGCTAGGGATACCATGGCAGAACCTTTAGTGAATGTTAGATCAAGGTTTAAGAGGTCCTCTGCTATAAGCAAGGCTACCCCATAATCAGGAAGGTATAGAGTTGAGGGAAGAGGGGTATTGAGAATTGTTGTTGACTGATAGTCCTCCCCCAGTTGTGGGAACATCTCAGACAAGACTCTCACTCCACTGCCGTATGCTCCCCTAATTCCCTAAACCAGTTTGGACTATAAACATACTCTGCTGTCCACTTGTGTCTCTTCCAGTCAGACTCCCTCTGGAAGACCTGTTGCACATGGAACATCTACACCAAACATTAATGGTCTACATTTCTTCCTGGAAGTTTTATTAATCACAAGGTTCCATGACTATGCTGCTGCCTATCACAAGCTGTAACAGGGGCAGCATTGTGTCAAATGTAAAATGTAGCAATGGAAAATTTAAACCAGGGAATGTAAACACCTCAGACTAAGAGAGCTATTCATATCCCTACCGTCACCTGACTCTGCCAGTGTGTGTAGAAGACCACTTGCACAACCAATTACTGAATGAAACCTATGTCGATAACCATGTACATAAGTAGGTCTATTGTTTTGCATATCTGATCTTCTCCGGGATATTCACTCACGTGTTATTCACAATAATTCATACAGACTGGGGCGACTCCTCTCTACATTGCCAGTGGAAAAGGACACAGTGAAGTGGTGGATATCCTACTGAGGAATGGAGCTGGTGTGGATAGAGCTTTGAACGTAAGTCAATCATCTGTCACTGCATGACAATCTTCAGTCGTTTACTGTACCAGTGCAGTCAGTCACATCTAACCTTACTGTTACTTGTCCTACCCATCTGCTCTCATCCCATAAACATAATAATTATTCTACCAACCTTCTTCGATTTGCACGGTGTGGTTTGATCTAGCTAAACTATTCAGTTTATTGTTCTTCCCTATAGGATGGGACGACTCCTCTCTACATAGCCAGTCAAAATGGACACAGTGAAGTGGTGGATATCCTACTGAGGAATGGAGCTGGTGTGGATAGAGCTATGACGTAAGTCAATCATCAGTCACTACATGACAATCTTCAATTTTCAACTGTGCCAATGCAGCCAGTCACATCTAACTTTACTGTTACTTGTACTACCCATCTGCTCTCATCCCATAAACATAATAATTATTCTACCAACCTTCTTCAATTTGCACGGTGTGGTTTGATCTAGCTAAACTATTCAGTTTATTATTCTCCCCCATAGGATGGGCGACTCCTCTCATTGTTGCCAGTCAAAATGGACACAGTGAAGTGGTGGCTATCCTACTGAGGAATGGAGCTGGTGTGGATAGAGCTAGGAAAGTAAGTCAATCATCAGTCACTACATGACAATCTTCAATTTTCAACTGTGCCAATGCAGCCAGTCACATCTAACTTTACTGTTACTTGTCCTACCAATCCTCTCTCATCCATTAACATAATTAATATTCTACCAACCTTCTTCGAGTTGCACGGTGTGGTTTGATCTAGCTAAACTATTCAGTTTATTATTCTTCCCCATAGGATGGGGTGACTCCTCTCTTCATTGCCAGTCAAAATGGACACAGTGAAGTGGTGAATATCCTACTGAGGAATGGAGCTGGTGTGGATAGAGCTAAGAAAGTAAGTCAATCATCAGTCACTGCCTAACAATCTTCAGTCGTTTACTGTACCAGTGCATTCAGTCACATCTAACTTTACAGTTAGTTGTCCTACCAATCCTCTCTCATTTTGATTTTTATGGGACATAATATTCTACCACCCTTCTTCAGTCCCAAACACAGACCACTGAGTATGGTTGCCGACAAGATTATAGAAGTACACCAATGGTTGAAGCATTAGTTTTTGCAGAGTGTGCCTTCTCCTGGGGAGTGGTTAAGGTTCCCTTGAAAACACATCTCATATTAAACTCTCTCATTCGGACTAGTGAATTACACGCCGTTCGCTCCCCTATTACGCGACAGATCCGCGCGCGCTGGCAAACGTCGCTGTCGCTTCTCAAGCGACCATAGACGTACCTGTTCAAAGTTCAAGCGGTGCTGCCGCTCCACGGTCGCTCCGGGCTGTAGCAAACACTTTTCCACACCTTTCACTGAAGTTCAGCTTAACGTTAAAAGTGCCACTTTGAACTTTCGTACTCTCATTATATAACAACGGGAGAAAACGGGACCAGTTTAACCAAACGTCGGGTGTGCGCGCCGCACAGCGATATCTTGGCAGCCGCTGCGTCTTTTATTCTAACGAGATATTGTACGCATCTGGATTTTTGTGCTGCTCGTAAGTGATAAAAACATCATTGTGAATATATAATATTCCATTGCGACAGTATTTCGCTACAGTCTTTGATAGCATGGCTACGGCAAACATTCACAAGCAAATGAAACGTACTGCGGATTGCTGGAGTGTCGATGATTGATGATGTGAACCAATGATGCAAGAAGTGACAACTGAAGACTTTCTGTGTTGATGGAAGGTAAAACCCAACAACTAATACAACTGCATAAATTAC